AGATCCTAGCACCTGAAATTTCAACCCCATTCTACCTTGAGAGTGTGGTCAGGGGAGCAGGTGTACTGGAATCGTGCAGCCTGAAGTATGGCTGTTATCACTGGGACAGTCTCACGGTACAGTGTCGGTTAAAATCTCAGAGAATGACTTTCATTACAAAGCAATCACACTGGCTTTATCCAACAAAGGAAGTACAGAGCGCGAGAGTAGCCTTCTAGTCTAATGCATCTGCAGGCTTTTGCGGTTACACCTACTGAATTAGAAATGATATATACTTGGTTTTGTGGTTATATCCTATAGAATGAAAACTGCACTAGATTGTTTTTAAAGATCACTATCACTAAATCAAGAGATTATTACTGTGTCCCAGTTCCCAAATGCCTTCATGTAAGAAACGACAAAAGACACTACCCATAGAACATATACTAAAGACTCAAAGCACTGAATAGAATGTCTGGTTATTAACAATAGCTGAGAAGTATATTTTGTTTAATAATTCAGTAATATATACTAATATAGCTAATTACAATGTTGTACTTTAATTTTGTTCTCATCCATTAGAAATCCACATATTAAAATAAAACAAATCATATTCTTCCTTGTATAGATCCCCCTCCCCGGGGGACTTAATGACTAGAAGAAATTAATGACAATAATCAAGTACTCAGCTTCTACAAGCTGATGACTACTTCATTAATATTATTAAGTTCAAGTGCATTATTATTTAATGGTCAGAACAGAGCACCTCACTATTGGTGTACACATTTGGTTCAATGCTGCTAAGCATAGCTACATGGCATATTCCTTTCATTATATTTATGCCAGTTAGTACAGTGTTAAGCAGTTCTAAGTCCTGTGAGCCCTTTTCTCCTTTTGCTATATGATACCCCGAAAAAAACTTTAAAAAATATTACTCAAATTACAAGTTCAGCAATGTCAAAGAGCCTTCTCCTTTTTTAACATTTCAGCATGAATGTGAGAACATAGCCCATGAAAATTTTATCTGAAAACCTATCCTCTAAATTTTGAAAGAATGCATTTATGTCTCATTTCTCTCATTTTGCTAAATGATAAAATCCAGCATCTTGTACACCAAGCCATGTATTATCACATAGTGGAGGTTTACAAAACCACTAAATCACACTGTGTTTGGGGAAATATCGTTTATAGTGGAATAGAAACAAGCCACAAACTAGAAGATGTGTTACTGAAATAAATCAAACACAACTCTGCCTAGTGAAAGATTTTCCAGGGCAGAATCAAAATATGACTGAATGAATATGAAGACTAATGTGATTTGAGAATATGACAGAATGTCCATATTACATGGTAAGATAATTTGACTGCTTGCAAATATTTATTTCCTAATGAAACCATTGGCTCAAAATGTACAAATTATAAGGAACCACCATCCTGAAAACAAACCACATATTTAGAACAACCTATATATAATAGGATGTTCAATGATAGCGTTCAAAAACTAGAAATCTAAAACTTCAAGCCACAGAAATCTAGTTCCTTGTATAACTTTTAGATTCGTTGAAATTAAATTATTGACTTCAGTGCGTGTAATTAAGTGATAAAAAGGTGCAAATAGAAAAACTCTGAAAAAGTGGCTATTACCAAAGATATTTAAATGAGTTAAATAATTAAATAAATTAAGTTTCCGAGATAGCCTAGTAAAAGGGGCTTTGCTTATACTAGATTTTGAAGGTCCTAAATTAAAGGACTTTCTTCCTATTTAGCATCACAGTGATATTTCTCTGGGTCTTTCTCTAGTGAGGATCCCAAGTTTCTAATTGTGCTGACCCAGTGAAGTTAGACTTAAATTTCTGTACTCTGTACTTGCTACTTGGCTTAAATTAAAATGCAAAACAATGCTCTTATTTCCATTTCAAGAAGTGATTGAGACTAGGGATTCAAGGAATTAGAAAAAGTGGTGATCTAGGCAGAGATAACATTCCTTTGCTTTGTTTACAATGGTAGCAAAGATTGCTGGGATGTCCTTCACTGAAATACTCTTTTCTCCTTTTCTTTCTTCCTTTCCACTTCCTTTGCACTTAATTGAAACTCTTACAGAGCTAACTGTTTAAAGCTCTGAAGCCAAGGTGGATGTCCCTAGCCTTATGCTATTCTATGACAGCAAGTCTGCTTAGGATGATGCATGATCAGTAAAAATGAAAACTGAAACAATTCGTTTTCACTAACCCCAGTTCTTGTCTGTTTTCTTATAGGTGCGTGCTAGTGCAATCGCCCAAGATGCTGATCAGAATTACGACTATGCCAGTAACAGTGTGGTTCTTCATCTGGAACCAGGAGATGAAGTCTATATCAAATTAGATGGTGGGAAAGCCCACGGAGGAAACAACAACAAATACAGCACATTTTCTGGATTTATTATTTATGCTGACTGATAATGCAGAGACTAAGCTTATTATTCTGAGTCTGAACACTGGATTCGTATGGCTAACGTCAGTGAATGAAGGATCCCTGGGGATGCACCTCAGTGGTGTATGTGTGGGGAAAATCAAATGCTACCTGACTCACATCTGTATCACTCAGAAACATTATGTAAAAAAAATATTTAAAGCAAGATAAGCAGATGTGTGATCCACTACCGCCAAAGCAAATACTCCTTATTGTTAGTGTCCATGTGAATGAAGTCCTCTATAGATCACAAATTTTTATAGAAAAATCTAAGACATTGAATTATTTCTTCAATATATATGATACTTTGGTGTACTGTGATCTTGCTGCTTTTATCCATATGTCAGCTTTGGTTCTTGTGAGTTTACCTGCTTATTATGATACTTGGAGTCCATTCATAGTAGGGGAAGAATCAGTTTACCCTGCAGGAGAAGGTCTAAGGAAAGAACACTGCTTGTCCCCAAAGAAATTGTTTGCCTTGTACTCTTGTTAAGTTTAGAGCTAGACCTGGGAATGATTCAACTTCAAGCCTTAACCTGGAATTTTCTGAATCTGTGGGAATTCCCAAGCCTATGATCATTTTCACATTTTTCTTATCATTTTTTTTTCTCTATTTTCTGGTGATAGTCATTAAAAATTAGAGTTTGAAACTGTATCATAGGATTACACTTTAAGTGTGAAAATGTGTAATTATGTGTGGTACTTAGAAAATCCCCTATGTGTCCATTTTGTCAATAGAATACTTTTAGATTTACTTGGAAAGGCAGAGAAATTTATTCTTTGGTATTGAATCAGACTGAGGCTTTTGCCTTCTTTGGAAGAAAATATTATTCATAACCCAATGCACAAAGGTTTAATTTGAGCTACTGCATGCGTCACCAAGGGGACACTAAGTAAGGCCTTCAAACTGTTACTACAGATCTGTGGCCTGAGGTTATCTCAAAATTAACAATTTCACATATAACCGGTGTGACAACAGTGTATATATTTTATATAAATACCCACCACACACATATTTATATACATATACATGTATGTTAGATGAAATATTATATACATTTGGCTTCAGTCCCTGACATACAGTGACTGTAGAGCTTTGAAAATTTAATTTAAAAAAATACACACAAAAACACACGTAAATTATTGGACTTATTTTGGATTGAAATCTATATTAGGTGACAAAACTATATGGAGTAGCAAAATAACTGAAGTGACTTCTCTTTAAGAGCTATCCAGAAAATTAAACTTCAATGGGTTAAGGTGCCCTCCACTTCATATGTGTGACTTAAGCCTTTGGTTGCTTCATTACCATATGCCAATCAATACTTGTACTGCATTCTCTGGCAGACTGTTAGCATCAGGACCACAGCAACAATGTGCTCCCCTTCGCAGTGTTTATTAATTGAATGTATCTGAGTTATCAATTTTTCTTTGTTTCTCAGGTGGATGGAAGCTGACAGTACATTTTTGGAAGGAATACAAACCCTTTCTCTGTAGTTAAAATCTGCTGCCAAACGTCATCTCTTTCACCCAAGAAAAAAGATTAATATGCATGTTGATACATCCTATCACACAATTTCCATTACTACAGTGACAAAAAAATCTGTTTCGTTTTCAGTCACTTTTGAAGAATCTTTGACAAGTAGATTTCAAAAACAAAGATTTAAAAATGTGCTTGTTTTACTGGAGAAGGACATTTGCATTTTTTTCCCTTAAAAGACCTGGTTTGTTCTCATAGCTCATTCCTCTTTGGTACATTCTGTTCTAATACACACAAAGCTTGATCTTTGATCAGCTAAAATATCCTTAATTTATCCAACTTCAGCTTTCCACGAGTTACACGTAATGTTCTCATGTGAAGGTGGGGCTTTCTGTGTTTAAATGCTTTGGTCTGAGTAGCTGTCATGAGTTATAGGATTAAAAGCACCTTGGCTCCTTCATCAAGAATAATGACTAATCCTCTTTGGTCTTTGTGTTATGTAAGAGCACTCATAAATGATTTGTAATAGTTCTTTTCTCTTTAATATATATGTATCAAAGAAGAATTGGCAGCACCAGATTGGTGAGTGGCTTTAGGAAACAAATAGCAGAGTAAGGATTCAGTCAAAATCTTTGTTTATAAACAGCAGTGCAGATTAATTAAGAGTTTTAATTGACAATTTTATAAAGGCTTTATTTATATAAAACATCAAGCCCGGATACCTTTTAAAGAGAAGGATTTAGAATCACACTGTCATTAACAATAGATTTGACCTTTTCTTTGGATAAATGAGAATTATTTTCTGTTTAGGCCCAATGAAAAACAAATAAAAGGTAAAGGAAATAAAGGGAATATATACATATATATATATATATATAAGGCAAACATTTCTCTCTTTTGCATTATATCTTATGACTTAATAAATTGTGGCCTTTGTTATTATAAATGTAATGATTCATTAAACTATATTATGTAATATGCTTTGACTTTTATGATTGAATTTTTATAATTCACTACTATTACATGTTCTCATATAAACTTCATAAAACTCAACAGGATTTATACCAAAAAGAAAAAAAACAAACTCCAGAAAGCCAAAGGCATCAAACTGATTTATTATAGATAGGTGGATAGCGTACCATTAACCTTCCAAAATATTTTTATTGTTGTGAGTTGGTAATTATATTACAGTATCCTTTGGAATAAAAACTCTCAAAATTTAACTTCCCTTGTAGCAAAAACTACTTGAAAGTGCCATATTATTCATTAAGCATTAATTAAAGAACAGCAGGATAATTAGTAGGATCATCAATATTACAAGAAACATTAGATTACTCCAGAAGGGGGCAATTTAACCAGAAACATTTAAAATTTTCTCAAGTCGTATAGCTGATAGATTAGGAAAAACCCCAAAACCTCCTCTTAGAGTATACAGACTTTAAATTATTGTTTGGAAATAAGGATTTTTCTGTATTTATTTTATTAAGGCAAAACAATAGGGTTGTTAGACTCAGCAACTCCCCACAGGTGCACATAGCCTGTTACAGAGAGGCAAACTTCTCACGGGAAGGAAATTCAATCAGTTATTGTGTCCTATGTAGATCTGATTAATTCTGCCAGTGGGATTGAAATCACTGAAGATTTTCTGTAAGTATTATAAATCAATTCATAAGCAACCATTCTATTTGAAAGTGAGCCATCGCTTAGGGTTTTCTATCAGTATCTTATCAAGTGCACTCTGGGTTATGCCTCTAAATAACATTTTAGGCACAATATTGCTAAGTATATGAGAATAGCCATGCCCTCCATATTTCATCAGGCGATGCTTCGTGTGTATGTCATGGGCCATCAGAATTCGATCTCCACAGCCCTCATCCACCAGGAGCCGCACCCTGTGAAGACATTAACTCATTAGATGCCGTTTGTCTCACGTGTTAGAATTTTTGGGTGCTTTAAACTTCCTGCTCACAAGCCTATTGTGCTTGTCCTAAGGATACTGCCTTCCACTGGGGCAGGTGTACCTGGAGCCCCTTAAGAAATGGTGTGTGATAATGGTACAGATATCGCTGCCTCTTAGGAGGAACAAGATCCTTATTCCACGCACACAGAAATTTCCAGCCTGTAATATTTATGACAAAGCTTGGCAATGCTGCATTAAAGATAGATTCTAATAGGATCTGCCAGCTCAAACGAATGACCACTTTAGCATTGCACTAAATAACTTGGTTCTGGTTTTGTATTCAGCTGTTCTTCTCGAATGTCGGTCTTCTTAGGCCCAGTCTCTCTCTCTTTTTTAAATCTAGCACATGAATCAGTGGATATTTGTGGTTAAAATATGGAAACAAAAGGAATCTTCATACAAATTAAACTCTCAGTAAAAGCAGTTGATTTGCAAGTGAGGCCATATGACAGTAACTACAGTCAGTGAAGGCAGCCTAACAAAAGCATCACTGTACTTTGAGCATTTATTTCTTCACAATCGATGGGAATGTTGACTGAGTAGTAGTCTCTGAGTATTGGATTAAATTGAGCAAGCAAACAAGTAAACAAACAAACAAACAAACACCCTTTACTTTGTCTTCCTTTCCCATCAACAGGATTGTTAAAATAATGAGCTGTTCCTTTAAATTTATAGTCACTTAACTAAAGGACAGTTTTCTGACAATTGTCTAAAAGTGCAATCCTTTTTGCTTGGTTAAATGCAGTAATCTGTAGTGTGAGTCACCCCCTCACAGCCACCATCTGTATATGTCTGCATTCTGGGCAGTGTCTATCGTGACTTCCAAAGGTCTCTGATAGCAGAGGTGCGGCTGGCTGACAGGGTACCTCCCTGGGATTCTCTTACAGCTTGTAAGTCCCACAGGGGTAGGAAGGAATTGATAGCGCCTTCTTCCAGGACCTGGTTATTTGAAAGACATCATTTTTGTTCCCACAGATAACATTTCTTGGGATTCTAGAGCATGAATTCTATTTAGCAACTACTATGCTAAGCAAGATGTCTGACACAACACACACACACACACACACACACACACACACACACACACACTTCAAGCATAAAGCCATGGCCTCTGAGAATGTATATTATGAAATAGATTAGATCTTAAATTTGCAGCTCATAGGTGGTATGAATACCAGAGTAGTCAAGCTGTCTGGGTGCTTTATCTAGAAATCAGGGGTCCTGCCATGTGGACCCCATGTCTGTCCTACGCAAGCATGGAATTCCATTTCTTTCTGACTTTTTCTGAGCATTTCCCACAGCTTTAAATGTCTGTTTTTCATCTGAAAATTATGATGTCTCATTATCATGAAGGCATACATATGAATAAACAATCCCTGTAAGATGGCTTTTACCACAACTTGAAACAAAAAGTTATCGAATCAGGAAGTAGTAAAGAAGGCATATGGTGAATAAGATATACTTATTTAAAAATGAAACTTTTAGAACTCCTTGAAGTCAAGAATTAGGAGATTTTCTCACAATCAAGATAATGTTCTAGCTCTAGAAACACCATTCCATCCTGACTACCAAGGACTCTGTCTAGTCTGGCCACAACAAAGAGATCTTGTTGCATATTTCTGCCGCTATGTGGAAGAACAGGAGCTCCAGAGATGCTGCCAGAAGGGAGGAACCACTACAGATGAGAAGACAAAAAATTACAGTAATTATAGCAATACAAATGAGTTAGTGTTTTGCAAACAAATATTAGGGAGAGACTACAAAGTGTGAAAAGGCAGAGATATAATAAGATTTGAGAAATGGAGCATAAGATTGAAAACAGGTGTTAGACACAGAATTTCTGGTGCCGAAAACCAGAGGTAGGCAGAAGCGTGCTTCTGCGTTCTGAAATCTCAGAGCTTTCAGACTAGTATGGCTAAAAAAAGATTGCAGATCAACGATATAATCCAAGTGCTCATGAGGTCGGGGGGGGGAACAAGCTAGTGGGTCAGACACAGTCAAAAGCGCCATTTGGCTCTTAACATCAAATGGTCATGTGTGGTAGGTGGCACATGCTTGCAACCCTGGCACTTGGAAGGCTGAGGCAGAGAAGTTAGAGTTCAAGGCCATCCTGGGCTACATAGCAAGTTCAAGGGTAGCTTGGAACAGTGTGAGACCTTGTCCAAGAAAAACTAAGCTAATAAACAAACAAAAAGCAACATGAGCTGTGCTTGGGTAAAGTGACTCAATGTACAGCTTTAATTTAAGGAAGATTAAATTCATATACATATGCACGCATGCTCCTATACACAGAATAGCACAAATACATATCATATATATATATATATATATATTCTTTTCTTTTTTTTTTCAGTACCAGGGATTGAACTCAGGACCTTGTGTTTGCCAGGCAAGCATTTATTCCACCGAGCTATCTCCTGGCCTCAAATACATCCTTATATAAAAAACTTTGATGTATTTTCACACATTCAGAATGTTTATTTAACACAATAAAAGAATCAAAGGTAATTCTTATTCTTTTTTTTTTTTTTGGCGGAACCGGGGATCGAACTCAGGCTCTTGCTCTTGCCAGGGAAGCACTTATTCCACTGAGCCATGACCCCGGTCCTAAATTCTTATTTTTGCACTAGTAGTTAAAGGATCCAAGAGGAATGAAGGGGAAGCCTGTGACCTTTTTTATACCTCCATTGATTTCCCCTTAAAGATCTCATCTCTGAGATGAGGTCTTCGTTTCAGAAGGTCTGGATACATCATGGAGGGGTTAGGGGTGCAAAACATACACCTCACTGCCATAGAGTGGTTTAGCAAAAGCAAACAGAACCTGAAGGCAAACTTCCCATGTCCGAGATGAACTGCAAAATGTTGAAGGCATCCATCATGAAGTCGTGTCTGTGATATGAAAGACCTACACCAAAGGTCTTTATATCCCAGCTGTCTTTGAGCAAAGATTATTCACCTCCTGAGGCAATACTAACTAGGGAAACCTGTTGGCCTACACTTATAGTGCCTCTTAGAAAATTAATTAAAATCATAAACAAATGAAATAATAAATCTATTTGCTAAATAATTAGTGTAAGTGTAAAAAAAAGACCTAGCTTTATTGGTTAAGTCATAGCAGTTTGCTTACAGAGTGGCTGCCATGTTACTTAAGGACAGTAATATTTATTAAGGATCACTCTCTATTAAACGTCAAGCATATTTTGCTGTTACTGACGTCATGGAGGAGGATATTCTCACTGGCTCAGGATCTTTCTTCCCCAATGTGTGTCTGTTCAATTATCTATAACTTTAGTCTCATGGTTTCTGGATGTTATTTCTTGATTATAGTTTTGTTTACTTTCATTCTAATTTGTTTTCTATCCTTATAACCATGTCCTAGACCTTGAAGCCATGAAAAAGTGCTTTTTCTCTGAAATCTCAACTTTCCGTTTCCAACTGCAATCCCAGGGCCTCTTTCTGATTTTTCCATTCACTTAGGTACCTACTCACCCACTTCACAAGGGCCTCTGATATTTGCCTTTTTTTGTCATTCCTACTTATCTCCCTGTTTCTCTCTCCATCGTCTTTCCTTCAGCTTGGCCTCCATGGTCTTCACCTCTCTGCCTTAATCTGTCCCCTTGGTTATTGCCCACATTTCTCCAATAGAATCTCCATCTTACCTCTCTCTAACTGTTCACTTTTTCCGTATCTTCTCACAAACTTCTCTGGTTCTATAGCCAAAACTGAAATAGTTTTACAAAAAGAATTACCAAATCACACCCACTGCTAGAAACATACAGTCATGCACTTCTGATTTCCAGTCTCACTGGGGTCACACACACATGACCTTGTCAGCATCTCCCTTATTCGTCTGACAACCATTCCTAGACTTCATTCCCCCCTTCCAAGGTCCTGCCCTGAATCTACTCCTCCTTATTCAGGAAGTGACTGTGTCTACCTCACAGGGATATCAGAGAACACATGACCATTGGTCTCAATTTCCTGTTCCTCTTGCTAATATGTTTATCTGCATTCATATCATCACTTTCTTTGTGCCTTCACTCCTATGGAGAAAATATCCATTCTACCAACTTTCTATTTGCTCCCTTGATTCCATGTATTTGTCCCAGTAGAGCCTTATCTCTATATTTCTTATCTCTCCAGACTTTTTGAACACAACATCTACTGAACATTTCTACTGCACCACATACTCAAATAAAAATCTTTGCATATACGTCATTTCACATAAATTCCATCACAACTCTGTAGAATGGCACTCCTTCCCTGGAACCATGCCATTTTTTTCTTCATTTTTCCACAGCCACATAAATTGCTCAGCTCTTAATAAGTTTCCCTTGATCCTGTGTTTCCTAGTTTCAGCCTCATTTATCTGCTTCTCTTTAATAGCACTTTTTGAAAGACTAACTACCAGTCTTTCACCTCTTTCTCGTCTTTGACTCATTCCTCAAGTCTTTTCTACTAAGACCCACACATATGACCTGGGAAAGAAGACCTGTCAAGCTGTGAAGTCCAATGCTTGCTTTTCTGTCCTGATCTCACTTAATATCCCAAGTCTTTTGGCCAAAGCATCAGTCTTCTGTTAAGAACATCATTTTATAATTTTACTGGTTTGAGAACTTCCTCACTTGTCTTTGGGTGATTCTCCCTGTGTTCTGAGAAACAGCTTCCATTCCCATAATTTGAGCTATCACTGATGATATCCAAAGTTATCTTTCATCCCAAACTTCTGCTCTGAGCTTCATATATTTACCGTAGGGCCCAGTGGATAACAGCACTTAGATAACCTCAAAGTCTCTCTTGTCAGTCCCAAATCTGTTTCTCCTCCGAGATCCCCCAACTTGGTTTATTCAATCATTATACTACCTCTCTATCAAGACTCATTCTTGTAGCCATCTTTAGAATCAAATTCTCCACTTGATTGCAAAGAATGAATCATAGAACTGTTTGCTTGATCACACATTAGGCCACTTGGGGAGACTGCACTTTGTATGATCCTGGGTATTCAGCCACTGCACCACTGGCACTTAAGTTATAATCACCCCTTAATGAAAGTTTAACTGAAGCATTTCACATATTAACCACAGGAAGGTATGACTTTAGTGTGGTCAGCTTGGGAAAGAAACAGCTTATTTCCTTAGGAATAAAGGAGGAAAGTGTCTTTTGTTCTCTTCCTGTCATGGCAGGGGTTGAGCATTATCTGTGTCTCTTGTCAGTTGCCCATCTGCACTGAACTTCTAAGGCTCTGCTAAGCTTTAACCTACTTAGGATGACTCATTTTCTCCTTGAAATAATACAGAGAGATTTTTCTCCCAGAAACAGCTCAGATATACTCCTCTCTGCAATTCTGTGCATCAGCCTGCTTATTGTTTTCTGAGTCTTTGCTAATACTCACCTAGGTATATGATGATCAAAAAGGGATAGTAAAAGGGAATGCTATGAGAGATGGAACCATATTTACCTTCTAATTCTTTTGTTATCATCCGGCATATCAATATCTAGGTCGTATTGGTAATTAAGAAATTCATTACCAAAGAGATCATACTCCAGGTAGCAGCCAAGCTGAGCAAACTCCAGCAGCTCCTTCTTATCAAGTATAGTCCTAGAGACAATAACACAAGCATAAGCTTCTTATTACAGTGTATCTCCCACATACACAGATGAGAAGTTTTAAGCATGCTATGCACTAGAACATAATTTAAATCAAATAAAATAACTTCTGAGGTAGTTCTTATGATGTGATTATAAAACAGTAAGTTCAATTTGTTACCAGAAGAAAAAGAATATAACCATCTAAAAGGGAGATTTCCCTTGAACTTGGGACTAAGATTTACTTGAAATATGCTGCTATTACCCCAAAATAATTTTGTACCTTTTTTCACAATTGTCTCTAGAATACATCCAACGTTCTTCTGAAAACTGTTAATGGGTTAAATTTTTACCCTCTAAGGACTGCTGTGAGCTATCAAACCTATTAAAATGAATTTGGCATCAGGCCTATAAATTAGATGAGGAATACTGATATGGGTGAACAGGAAGGTTTCACTGTGATGTAGCAGGATGATTTTCTTATGAAGATTAGAAAGTAGTTCTAAATAAAATCCCAAAGCCTTGTAGGAATATCATTCCAATTTCTTTTTTTAGCAAGGACAATATTCATACAAATATATATGTTTTGGTGTATTTATTTTAAAATAATGTTTATTGTTTTATGGTAAATCTCATGGGTATCTTTTCATTTCAGTAGGTGTTATATTAGGAGTATCATTATTGTAGGATGAATTGTGTGAATGAGTGGCAAAAGAGGGGAATGTAAGAAAAGGCTACAGACAGGGGAACAGACTGCAGAGCAAAGGTGGGAGAAAATTCAGGCTGGGTATGGCAGCGCACACCTACAATCGCTGCACTCCAGAGGCCAAGGCAGGAGGATCACTGCGAGTTCAAGCCTGAACTGCATAATGAAAAACTGCTTTTTAAAAAAAAGTAGGTGAAAAGTCACCAAAAAAATTAATTACAACTTAAAAAGAATGTTTTAAGGTAACTTCAAAATGTCACTGCAGATATTCAATCACACAGATAAGTAAAACACAATTATAACACCCTACCAATATAGGAAAATCAGACAGAAAAGTGCCCAATGAGTCATAGAACAAGGGGATGCCAAGGATGCAGAGAGAAAGTGATTGGGGTCCAACACAGGACTGGAGCAGAGTCAGAAGGCAGACAATCATTGTCTTGTGAAGCTTTTTATCTATGCTGATATTTATTAGTTTGGAAACTCTGGGATGCAAAGATTAAAGCACTATTATATGTCTATAAATCTGCTTCTAAGAGGTCAGAAGTATTGTCAAAGCCTTTCTTCCAATCCAAGGGAGGACCAATTAAGAGTCTACATGTCACGGGTGTGCAAGGGTTCTGCTTCCCTGGGATGTTTCTTGGGAGCTGACTATTGACTTTCACTCTGAGCTATCACATTATGGTTGGATATTTTTTCCCCCATGTACTAGGAGCATAACTTATAGCTTACATATTGTTTTAGGCAGAGAGGCTAAAAAATCTTTCCTTTATACTCCAAAATGTGCATTAGCTCTATATTATCTTCTATTAATACTACTCCTTTTCCATCTTCTTAGCATGGAAGCCATTTTCTGCTTCTAAAATTGCTGGGCTAAAGAATAGGTGTCTTTCTATAGCAAGCATATTCTGTTTTCCACAAAGAAGAATCACGCTTAGTGACAAACTATACATAATTAAAATAACACTTATTATCTCAATACATTCCACAAGCCTATCAGCTCTCAATTTCGTCAATGAAGAAATAGGAGATAAGCTAGCTGCTCAAAGTGATACACTTTCACTTCAAGGTTGAAACCTTTCTTGACTATTATGCTGTGCAACCAGACAGTATTGCTAATCCTTCTAGACATTTTCAAGAATTACATAGAGTGAATGTACATAGTGTATTTCAGTTTTTACTTTGAGATTTGATTCCCTCCTGACAGTACCTTCACACTACACTTGAAAAAATTAAAATTTACCATCAAAGGTTAGCATGTGCTTAAGGAATGGAATAGCTCAGAAAGACAAGGATTATTGTCCTGTGGAGGTCTTTAATTTCCATGTCCGAGTGAAACTACATATAATAAGCAAGAGTAAGGGTATTTGACTGACTTTGTCAGATAGCAAAAGTTACATTTTTAGTTATATAGGTCTTGTTTTAACTTGGTCTTAACCATCCAGCAGGAAAGTGTAATCACAAGGTACAAAAAATAAAGCTATATTAATATACTGAGCTGTAAAAGGCTCAAGTCAACAACTTCTGACCATTGCCAGATGATCTTGTAACTCACTACTATTATGGCCTATTGGTCTATAGTGGGTTATTTTGCTGAATTCAAGTACCTACAATCTTTGGACTGGCATCAAGTATGAAAAGGTCCTTTAAAGACTTCAAATACAACTTCTCTAACTGCAGTGGAACACACATCTCTGACAAAACAAAACCAAAAAGGTTGATATGTTGGGAGCCATGGAAGCTAGGAAATCGATCAATTGTGTGTAGGTGGGACTAGGCCTCAGTGCCTAAAGCAAACAAGCTACCTCAGTCTGAAGATAAACATCCTGTCTGGTTAAAGTCAGCTATTAGTCACTAGGAAAACTTGTGTCACATGTTACTAGCTTTGCAAAAGTATAAATAAAATACTGTTTTTGTTGTGAAAAAAAGTAAGCAAGAGCAAATCTCTACAATTATTTTGGACAACTGAATGATATGGTCAAAGGAGAAGGAACTGTATTAGTCACAACTATTATTTACTTTATTCCTGTGAATGCTACATTGCTTTAAGCCCTTTATAAAAACTACACAGAACATCAACCACCAGATCAGATCAGCTGCCTGCTCTAGCTTCTACTGGATGTCAAATAGTTCAAGCTTAATGTGTCTTCTTTCGAACCCTTCATTCAGCATCCAAATTGGATGCTTCAACACCCTTCACTATCCCAACTATGCCGTAGGATGAGTATGTGGCCCTTTCTTAAAACCATAGAATTTAAAACCAAATTTCTCTGGTTTTAAGGCTTGGTCACTATCCCATGGAACTGCTGGGAGGTGGTAGAATACTGAGGACATGGGATCTAGTGGGAGGTTTTTTAGTCACTCAGTGTGTGTCCTTGAAAGATATATTGAGACCTCAGCTCCTTTTTTCTCCCCTCTTTTACCATCCATCCATGAAGTAAACAAATTTGCTTTGCCTTGATGTGCTCCTCCTCCACCAAACCAGAGGATTAAAAACAGTATATCTATGGGATTAGGCACTGGACCTCCCTCACATTATGAAGAGAAAAATAACCTTTTCTCTTTATCAGTTGATTCAGCTCAGGCATTTGCTACAGTAATAAAAAGTACACTAACATCCACTATTCCAGCTGCTCACACCAAAATCCTTGAGGTCCTTCTTGTCATGTTTCTCCTCTTTCATGCTATACTTAATCTATTGGGATAGGCTCCTGCCTCAACCTTCAAAACTGACTCCCTTGCTACCTTCTTGATCCAAATCCAAATCGAGATTCCCAACAAATCCATAGCAGATTCCCAACTGCTCTCTCAGCTTATATCTTTGTTGTATTACAGTCTGTTCTTAACATAGTAACAAATGTACCAACCTTTCAACTAATCAGTTCCAAGTCCAATAATAACTTCACTTCCCACAGAGTAAAAGGCAAGGCCTCCAAAGGGTCCTACAACACTTCTGTATTAGTCAGCTTTTGTTGTTGGGATAAAACAGACACAGGCAACTTAAAGAAGGAAAAGGCTAACTATGGTTTGCAGTCTTAGAGTTTTCAGTCCTGGGCCAGCCAGCTTCACAGAAGCAGCAGCATGGAGAAGGGCCTGGCAAAGGAGAGCTGCTCCTCTCATGGCAGTCAGGAAGCAGAGAGACAGGGAAATGCCAGAGCTCGAGACACACCTCCAAAAGCACCGTCTTCAGGGAACGCTTCCTCTGGTCAGGCCCTACCTCCCAACAGCATGTCCAGCAAGGAACGCACCAAGGCACAAATCCACTGATGGACATAGGTGAGTATAACACCCTAATCACTCACTCACCTCCTGAAAGCCTCTCCTCTGAACACACGCAGCCTGGGGCACATTTCTGACTTAAACCATGAGATCCCTGAAGTCTCATTCACTGTAATTTCATGGAAGTCTCACTAAGAGTGAGTGACGAAAATGCCCATCAACTGAGGAGTGGATAAGAAGATGTGGTCTTTTTATACAATGGAGTGCTACTCAGCCATAAAAGACAAACTTGAGACTTCTATAGGTAAATGGATGCAAGTTGAGACCAAACTCGTAAGTGAAATATACCAGGGTCACATGTATAAGCATTGTATTGTCTCCCCAGTGTGAGAAGCTAAAAGAGTAAATGAGATTCAAAATGTACAGTATGTATTGAAAAATAAGAAGAAATTATAAAAGAGAAATAAACTGGGGTGGGGAAAGGAGAAAAAATAGCAAATCCAAAGTAATACACACACTCATGATAGTCAAGATTATTATTCTTTTTTTTTTTTTTTGTGGAACCGGGGATCAAACTCATGCCCTTGCACTTGCCAGGTAAGTGCTTATTCCACTGAGCCATCTCCCCGGCCCCCAAGATTATTATTCTAATAATTTCTCATAGTTCATTGAAAAGAAAGGTTTGTACTACTATTGTTTGGATAATTAAATGCCTATATCTTCTACTAAATAAAAAAGTGAAATACAACAATATGCAATGCATTAACCATTGTTACTGTCTTCTTATCAAGTTTTGAAATTTTGTTTTACTTTTTCTTTTCTCTTTAAAACAAAATACCCCATTCAAAAGTGAGTGGGGGCCTTGTAGACCCAATTATCCACAATAGTATATAATTGTGACCTGCACTGTTGTTTGAAGAAATTGCCCTTACAGAGAGGTCTGCTTTAGAGGAAGACTAACCCAGACTTATAATCCTATAAGATTCATCTACACATGTAAATTCTAAAAGTAGTCCCCAGGGATTCTTACCCTGTAAAGAAACATATGGGAATTAATGTTACCAAGAAACTAGTAAATTCTGTAAAAC